ATAACTTGCAAATAGGATTCTAATATTTATAAATTCACTGATTCCTACCTAAGAGTGTTATATGTATTTTTGATGTTGAATATAAACAGGTAAATAAGTGAATTAAACCTCATGACCTGTCCTCCAATCTAGTGATGGAGACACATAATAAAACAATTAAATAAAAAGATTAATCTGGCTGCCAGGTCCACCATGGACTAGGCGGCTTGGACTAGAGTGATGTCGGAGGAGATAGGGAAAAAATGCATATGGATTTGATAAATTTTGGAAGTACATATGTTGGGACACTTACCAATGAACTAGATATGAGGGATGAGAGAGTAGGTTAGATCAAGGATGACTTCCAGGCTTCAAGCAGTTGACTGGACATTGGGCCATTTCCTGATGGTCTTGCTCTATTCATAGTACTAGTGGATGAAGGCACAGTTAAGATGTGAAGCTAGATGAGGTGGTTAATACACAAGTAAAAAGGATCAACAATTTTAAAAGAGATCACAAGACTTGAAAGATAAAGTGTAACAGAAATAAATATAGAATCCTTCACTTAGCTTCAAAAACACCAAAAAAAGTACACAGGAATGAACCGAGAAGACTTAGCCTAGTAGCGTTCATGCCAGAAGCTCAAAAAGAATGAAGAGTGTGATATAGCTGCTGTAAAAATGAATTCCAGAATAGGTTGCCTTAAAAGAAGCATGCTGTTCAACTCAGAGAAATTAAAAATCCTATCATGCTTTGCACTGTTCGGATCAAAACTGATGTTAGAGCTCTGTACTTGTGTTAGCATACAGTCTTTAAAAAGGATAGTAGAGAAACTGGACCATGGCTGAGATGTCAGCAGCCCAAACACTTCACCGCAAGATCAACAATTGAAAGAATTGATGACTTTTAAGTCAAAGAGCACAGTCTTAAAGTGAGCACCATGAGAAGAACTGTTTGTTAGGTAGAAGAGGGGTTAGATTTTATGTAGATTCAAATAGACCCAGAGAGTAAAATGAGTTCCCAAGGATAGAACTGGCAGCAGTGACTTCAGCTCAGCCTTAGTCTCAAAGCACAGAACTTTGCAGAAACAGAACAGGTCGTATAATGTGTTCCCTTTCAGAAGACACTACAGATCTGGATGCCAATGTGCTGGTGTGAAGCACAGACGTTTCCTGTCCTGTTCCTGTCCTGGAGAGGGTACTCTCTGAAGTTCTCTCCCTGATTCAAGTGTCTAGAACTCTAAGTTTCTTCTCAGGAGATACAAAAATGTACTAGGATGTCCTACACCACATCTTCCAAAGAGTTGCTGTCACACAAATGACTCATGAAAGTTCTTGGCCACATTCTTCACAATTTTAACTCTCCCCCAACCCCTTCCCATGGCCCAAGTATGATTATAGGTTCTAGATTTTCTTATCTGAAAAGTCTGAGCATAAGTCTGAAATATCAGCACCTTGACAATCCAATTACTAATTACTGAGCTTCAGTTTTCAGTTAATTGTGCCATTTTCAGCAACCAGTTTTTGCCTCACTCACTTTAAAACTTGTGTTCACTTCGTTATGTGTGGAAGTCTAAATTACTATATCCAGATGGAATTTTTAAAAATGAATCACTTATGTCCCTCTTTGTTAGCACAGGAATCCCAGTATATGATTCTCTTATAGGAAACCATAATTGTATGTACAAGTATCTATTTGGACAAACTGGGGCATAATCATGCTCAAAAGAGAGGTGTTCAAAAAGCCATTACACTCTCTCCAATCATTTCTCTGTGCTGTTTCTTTTAGATGTCATGGTTTCTTCTGTGTCTCAAGGCATTTCTGACTTGATTTTCCTAGATCATAACAGGATCAATTAGCCAATGTATTTCTTTTTTGTAAGAATCTGAATAAGGAGGTGTACTTTCCTAAATTTTAATCCCATTCATGCCAGATTCTTGTATAACTCAAAATATTTTCAGAATTTTACTTATGCAATTTACCTCTTTCTTAGTGACCTGATAGAAAAAGATTTTTGTTTTATATTAATTTAAAATCTTGGACGAGAAGATCTATATTTTGGGAGGGATGAAGAAGAGAGTCTTCAGAGATTGGATTTTTTTTTTTTTTTTTTTTGAGTTGGAGTCTCACTCTGTTGCCCAGACTGGAGTGCAGTGGCCGCTCCTGGCCACCGCAGCCTCGCCTGCTGCGCTCCTGCGATCCTTCCACCTCAGCCTTCCGAGTAGCCAGAATTACAGGCATGCGCTACCACGCCCGGCTGATTTTTTGATTTATTGTAGAGATGAGGTCTCGCTGCCCAGGCGGATCTCGAACCCGCAGGCTCAGGCAATCCACTCACCTCAGCCTCCCAAAGGCGCGGGATTACAGGCTGAGCCACTGAGCCCGGCTGAGTTTGGATTCTTAAAGGCAAAGGTTATTGGATTCTTACTACACATCCCTTCCTCTGGGGTATAGTCGTGTGTCTCTTAAACATGGGGACAAGGGGGCTATTGTCATCACCGTAGGACTACTTTCATCTGCCTCTTTTAAGTGTGGGGAAGAAGATAGGTGAACACCCCACTGAAATCTTCCGTGATCAACACTTTTCTCCCACTTGAAAAAAGTAGTGATAGGGGTTTATGAAGAAATCGTTCACCTCTTGCAAAGGGCTAGAGGCCAACTGTGCATTATCTACAAAGAGATTCAAAAAATTTCCTTAGAATGTTTATTTTGCTAATAAATACCCAGTCCTCCCAGGATTAAAGCCTTTAGTAAATTATTATGTGGATGTTAGTAACTGTCTTTTTCTGCTAGGCACGTATATACTTCCTACAAGGTTCTCCTTTTTATTCATTAGCCTTGGGCCCATGCTAATACTCCCTGGTCTCCTGGTCAGACACAGCAAGTGGACCCAACTGGGCACATAGTGACACCAGAACAGCACTTAGCTCATCCCAAGATGGCACCCATCCTATCCCACTGGGAAGCCCAGGCTATTCTATGCTACACAGAGATCCTCTAGGCCTGTCCCATGCACATGTAGAAGTGGCCACTTAGTGTACCATGTTCCTGAATACATGAGTGAACTCTGAGTGAAGTTTAAAGCTTGCTTCTTCAACACATACATATATTACTTATCTCATTAGATGGTAAAAAAAATCATGCCACAACTAGGTCTTGTATCTTACTCCTCCACAGAGCATATTAAATAATATTCCATTACATATCTCAAAACTATTGGATTGGTTAATAAATGCTTGCTCTCTGTTTCTCGTGACCCTCTACTAGAATAGATAATAAGGGACTTTCTATCTCTATCTCTGTCTATTCTTGCTCAGTCATAGTTTATTTTACTTTTATAAAGGAAAATGACAAAAATAAAAACAAAAAATTAAAATCTCTCAGTTCCCGATAAAGCGGATCCCTGCTTGATCTTCAAAAAGTAAAGGTCTGTAATTCCTTTTTGAACATGATTTCTAAGTGGAGGCCTTTGGTCATGGGCACCTCTTCAGCATTGTCTAGGACCTACTGGTGACTCATCAATCCCAAAGTTTTCTGCTCTGTTTCAGAAACTTTGTTGGTGGGACTTACCCTCTTAATCATCCTTCTCACTCAAGGATCTTAACGAAATATGTATATCTGAATGTGCTTTCTTAACAATCATATCTTAACCTAAATTCCCCTTTCTCAGGGGATCAGTCTGGCCTTTACCCCAAAGTGTTAGTTTTTCTGTTCTTCCTCCCAGTGTTTATTTTGCCTCTGCTGAGCTCTCTCTCTCTGCCCCTCCTGTGTTTTCTGGTCAATTTCTGGAAATCCATCTGTTCTGCTTTTGACCTTCTGCACTCCTGTGTATCTCCTCATGTCTGCCCTGTACTCAGAAGAAACAGAATGCTCTAGGACCAGAGGGAGATACGGAGCAGTCATTCTGCTTGGGGCAAGGGAAGGCACCCGAGGAGGTGGCATCTGTGCTGGGTCCCAGAGCAGCAGTTCAACAGGTGTGTGGGTGGGGGAAGGGGTTGGAAGGAGGCGGCCCATGCAGAGAGAACATCGTGATGTGCCAAGTGCTTCTCGACAGCACTTGCTAGGAAAATAATTGTCCTTAATTACTCAAACATGGAATCAGTGGCAGCAAGGTATTGTTCTAGGGATATATTTGCCTACATCAGGAAGTGAGCAGCTTCATTTGGGGAACTAGTTTTTTTTCTTTTTAATAAATAGGCTTTATTTTCAATTATCATGTCTGTTTTAACCAAACGATTCAGAAATAATCTGTGTGATCTCCTACATTATTTAAGCTGTGCTTTTTCTTGAGAAGAGTTTCATAATGAGCCAGATGTACTAAAACAAAAACATGAGTTCATCATTCAAAAAAGTATTTTCTTTATACTTGATTGTCAAAATTGTTCCCACCAGTTAACAAGAGGGGCTTATTCAGCTAAGAAGAACCAGGTGCCAAAAAACAAAACAACAACAACAACAAAATTACATTAGTGGTTTAATGTATAGATTCAAAAATAGCCACAGTGTGATAGATGAAAAGAACCCTAGACATCATTTGGCTTGTGTCTTTAGATTATAGGTGAGGAAACTAGAGAGGAGAGAGCTTATATGAGTTGCCCAAAGTCACGTGGTCACTCCTAAGGTCACTGCGAGCCTTCTCCTTCACCACCCCCCGTCCCACACCCCTCTCTCACACTTTCTTACCTGAATGTAGGTTGTAACAGAGAGTACACAATAGAGTACAAAAGATTTCTTGAAAAATATTGTTTTAAAGTCATCCCAACTGAAATGTTCCCAGGGAGTTATTTGGGCTTTGAATTACATAAAGGATTTGAACTGCTAGAGTTACTCAGATTCGAATGAGCACTTCTTTATTTGGTAGGGCATTTTTATTGAAGATTTTAGGGCAGGGGTGACTAATAGGTTCCAAAATTTGGATACTATTAACACATAATATTAGCATATGAATAACCTTTGCCTTGCTATAATGTAAATCAGAATATATTCTTTTCTAGTTATAAGATTTATTTTCGTTGCTTTAGGATACTTTTGACTTCAGTGACATTGCTGTCTATATATTCAATAAACCTTCTGTTGATCTGTTCAAAGGAAACAGGTAAGCTGAGAATACGTCTGGGTTTTTTAAGCTAGGGTGAATTATTTTCATGATGATATTGTGACAGATGATTTTTACATATAGCAATTGACTCTTAAAAAGAAAGACGACTTTGACCTTTGGAAGACCTGTGGTGGTTTTTACCCAGAGAAACAGTTGCAGAAAAATATAAATTAAATTGTCATGGGCAATGAGCAAATAATGTTGTCATTTAAAGTGAACCATCAATATGTCTGTTTTTCTAGTTTAAGATGACTTCATTTTAAAGACTTCCGTAGGTATTCATAAATCCAAAACAAAGATCCTATGTTTTTATATGATGGCTTTCAAGGTTTAAAAGTAAACAGACCTTCCATCCTCTTTTGTGCATATTCCAAGGAGAAAATATTGCTCCTGAGGCCATGAGGGAGTGAGTAAGCTATGAAGAGACTTCAAGTGCTCTGGGCAGTGTAATACCTGAAGTGTTTATTTTCTATTCCTGGGACACTGGATTATGTTTGTAATACTTTGACTTCTACGTTAGCTGAAACTATACTGGCCAACTACTATTGTATATAGATGACTCCATTTAACTAGAACATTTTGTAGCAAATTGAAGATCTAGCCATTGTCTAGTTTAAATGCCAGTCTTAAGAGAGATTAAACAAAAGTTTAATTATAGCTTAATCCACATTGCTTTCTGTGAACTCTTTGAAAACATGAACTGAACCGTTATAAAAGCAATATAAACACTTTTTTAAATGAATGACTTGGTATTTTAGTATTTATCAAGATGAACTAGATGAACACTTTTGAATTTTGCTACAAATTATTCTTTTGACAAATTTGCTGCTCTCTTTTGCAAGTTGCATGTCTTTGAAGTAAATTTTGTGAATGATCAGAATTCTTATGTCATGACTATTAAGATGTTTCTAAGCTTATTATTATATTTAGGACATAGAGGCATTGTTGGGATGTTATTAAGATAATCCTTTGTTAACTTAATCAGATCAGGTAATTAATTCAAAAGGAATCTTTTTGTCCCAGCCTTCAGGATTTTTTAAAAATCAAATCTGGAAGTATATATGGTATACCAGACCTGAGAAAAAGATCCCAGTGGGACTTTCCCCTCAGGAATGGAAAGATGGTTAAAAATAAGCCTTATGACCTCATAGTTTACTTGTAATGCACTTTAGCCAACTTGAAAAAGGAGAAACGGTGGTCATGTCTGACATTTTAAAATGCCAAGAGATTGTTTTATAGTGAGAATGCCAAGGTACCTGTTTGTCTGAGTTTGAGAAAGGCACAAAATAACTTGGGGGATAGTCAATAGAATGATGAAATTTTGACTATTTTAACTTTCAGAACCCCATCATTTCTTGTGTCTTCAAATTTGATTTTTAAATAGGATGCATGGTGTATGAAAAACTGGGAGAACAGGTCTTTGGTACCACAGGGAAGCTCGTAATCTTTGGAGCCACCTCTCTACAGAACACTGGAGGTAAAAAGAACACGCTTTTCTATACATAACATGAAACTAATTCTGGTGGTTGGGAAGTCACATGAATTTTAACATGACTCAAGCAGTTATCATCCTCATTGCTAAAATGGCACATGGAAAGAAAGACAGAGACAGCAGTCACTTATTTAAAGTCAAGTTTCCTGCTAGAGTAGCTAAAGCTACCTTTGTGTCTTATTGAAGGTTAGTCTAAGACGGGCTGCTAACTTTCAATATAGCTTGCAACATGAGCCTTCCTATCTTCTTTCTAAAAATGTTCTCATTTTCCTCCAGCAATGCTGAGCTACCTCTTCATAGTAAAAAATGAACTACCCTCCGCCATAAAGTTTCTCATGGGAAAAGATGAGGCATTTTCGTAAGTTATAGACCGTTTTTTTCTGATACAACTGAAATGTTTTACATATAAATGCAGGCTAACCAAAGTGTTTGCCTTATGGAGATTGCCAAAGGTTTTCCTACATATTTTTTGTTTATTTGTTTGTTTGTTTGTTTGCTTGTTGTTTCAACAATACATTTCTCCTTGATCTTGGGCTTCCAGCCTCCAGAGCTATGAGAAAATAACAAAACAATAAATTTGTTTGAGGCTATATAAATAAAAGAATCAGGGAAAGCCATTTGAATATGAACATTTAAAAGGCAGATTCATCTGCATTTTCCCGAGTCTGAAATCTGTATCTAGTTTCTGTGAAATAGAACAGATATGGAATATTTTTAACACAGAAATGGAATATGCAAAAAAATAAAATAAGACCCTAGCCCTCTTTCTTAAAGAGGGGACATAGAATTTTGGGAGCAAAATTTACATGCACCAACTTCATAAAAATGTAGCCAACCCTGGAAAATGTTGCAGCTACATTTGGCACAGCAATTATGTTTTGACTCCCTCTTGTTTAACAGTTCTTGTCAGTGTTAGTTTCTCTGTGTTCTTTCAAGGGGGAATCTTAGAAGCCAGAGTTCCTAGTGTTCTATCCTCAGGATTCAAGGTCAAGTCCAAGGGATCAGGGACAGAGAAATGTCTACCTGGGGTGACTTGTGTCTCATTGATACTAGCCAAGCAAAACAAAAAGGAACTTTCTCGTTAAATAATTGATAGGACAAGTTGTAATCTGACAGAATGCAATTTATGCATTCAGCTTTGAAACCACATAAATAATTCAAAGGAATGCCACATTTAGCCAGTGGGGGAGGGGAAAAAAAAACCCTTCTAGTACATGGAGTTGAGGCAGTAGTAAATGAGTAGTGGTTGTGTTAAAGTGTTTGGATAAAACTTGAATCATGATTTTAAAAAATAGATGGTAAAAATTGGTATAGTAAAAAAATTAATTAAAATATATCATAAAATTGTACATTTGAGGAAAAAAAATTACTTTCTAATATAATACAACCTAACCACTCAATGTCTTTCAGAGCCTGGTATGTGGATGGCCGTGTTCTGGTGGTGATAGTTACCTTTGGCATAATCCTCCCTCTGTGTCTTTTGAAGAACTTAGGTAAGAAAAGATATTGCTTTTATCACCATCTACCATGCCTGGATAAATCAGAAATGTAATAAAAATGAAACACTTTGCCCTCTGCATTCACTTAGAGGGTAAAGATAAATTGCAAGTATTAATCAGGCCCAACTTTAATATGGGATAAAAACACCGGCTTCCTAGGCAATCCCTCTACTAAGCTATAGAGGGAGAGAATGGAGTTTCTAGGGCTAGGGACAGAGAGGGTTATTTTCAATAGCACAACTTACAGGCTACTCTAAGGAAAGCCCAGAAAATGAAACTTTCTACATATGAGGTCTTAAATACCCTGATTATTTAGACAAACTTTAAAATCTATTATCAAGACAGAAAGTTGCTTATATTTATACCCAAAAGTATTATGAATCACTCTTAAATTTAGAGAGTCTAACCAATCTCATTTATTTGCCTCACTGAAGAGGAAGAGAGAAATCAAAAGTCAAAAGTAATGGATAATCTCCAAGGCATATCCATTTGGTTTTGACATTTGTTCTCATGCTTATATTTGGAGACAGTATGCCTGATGTTAGGGGAGTTTCATGCATTGAATAATGAGGCCAGAGCCAATCAAAAAATCTCTAACATGAATTTTCTTTACTTATGGGCTAATTTAAGGCAGAAGTTTAGACTAAAGTTCTTCCAAAAATAATTATGAACAATGGTTTTTTGTTTTGGATTTTTCAAAAAGCAGACCTCTAGCAGTTCTCTGAGTTTATAAGCAGATTTTTTTTTTTTTAAAGTCACTTAATTTTCTAGTTTCTGGGTCTATGTTTAAGTTTTTCTGTACCTATAGAGGTAACGCTTTTCAGTTAAGTAGAGAAGGGCACTCCTCCAGAGATAAGAATAATGGAGACCTAAAAGCCCACTTAACTGTACCTTTCTGGAGGTTATGGTGGCAGCTGGAGATCTCCTAGGCATCCTAAGGGGAGCTAAGTAAAGATCCCCAGATACTCCATTTATCACTAGAAATTCACTTCATCTACTCTGTCTCATCTGAGGAGAGAAGTATTATAACTGACATCCAGTAAGCACACAATAAATGCATAATAAAGCACTATTGTGGGGATCAAGGAATAAATAGATTTGCCCATAGGACTCCATCTACAGACTTACAACTAAAACTGGGGGGCTCTTTTTCCCTGGATTCTGGGAATCTGTATTCTCTAGTGTGCCAGGGACAACTGCAATCAAAACATATAATATAGCAATTTTTTATTCAAAGCCCCATTCTTTTGCCAAATTAAGTAGCACTGTCATTAATAAATCTTATATTCGCATGGGTGTATATGTGTATTTTTGGAGCTCCAAACTGTGCTTGAAATAATGCATTGAAAGAAATGACGTGATGAATGAAATAATAATACTTATTTTTTAAATTTTTTTTAAAGGGTATCTTGGCTATACCAGTGGATTTTCCTTGAGCTGTATGGTCTTTTTCCTAATAGTGGTAAGTGCTGATTGAAATGGTTGGTCTGATTTTGTTATAGTATAATGCGATGTCATAATTATTCATTATCTGGCTTTGCTAAAGTCTATATTGTTTCTCCTATTTTTTTTTTAATACCAGGTTATCTACAAGAAATTTCAAATTTCCTGCACTGGTCCAGAATTAAATTCAACAATAAGTGTGAATTCAACAAATCCTGACATGTGTACACCAAAATATGTTACCTTCAATTCAAAGGTAAGTTTCCTTATCCTTTACAGTTAAAAACAAGTATTTTTATTAAGGACATCATATTTCTCATACTTGTAATTACACTGTTTTGAATGTACCATTGCTTCTATATTCCACAATTCATTTAAAGACTTCTCAGATATATACAAATATGATAGTTTAGACTCCCTCTTATCTGGTTTACCTGTTGGACAACCTTAAGAATTCTCTAGGCTGGGCTCGGTGGCTCAGCCTGTAATCCCAGCGCTTTGGGAGGCCGAGGTGAGCGGATTGCCTGAGCCCACGGGTTTGAGACCCTCCTGGGCAGCGAGACCTCATCTCTACAATAAATCAAAAAATCAGCTGGGCGGTGGCGTGCGCCTGTAATTCCAGCTACTCGGAAGGCTGAGGCGGAAGGATCACCGGAGCCCAGCAGGTTGAGGCTGCGGTGGCCGGGAGCAGCCACTGCACTCCAGTCTGGGCGACAGAGTGAGACTCCAACTCAAAAAAAATCCAAACAACAACAACAAAAAAACAAACAAAAAATTTTAAAAAATAAAGTATACTTAAAAAAAAAAAGAATTCTCTATGAAAATCTAATTTGGATAATTGTCTCAGCTCTTCTCTTCCTGTGTAGAGTGCTGGGTGATGCTTTAAAAACAGATTAATAACAACCATAGCGCACTGCTTTTTACATGGTGGTGACAGACTTCCTCAGCTTGTTCAGTTGAAATGTAGATAGCATCACATGCTGATATTTTTTAAAGTTCATACTACTAAGATATGTTGATACTATGAGGAACAGCAGACTAGGGGGCTACCCAGGCTTGAATCTGAATCCTCAGGCAAGTCACCAAACTCCTTACATAAAAATGAGGATTCTATTCTTTATCTTACAGGGTTTTGTTAGAATGTGGCTGGCACAGTGCCTCAGCAGAGTTAGGGCATAAAATAGGTTCCTGTCTTTTCTTCTCTACTAGCTTCTTCTTGTATAAGAAGTTAGATTGAGTTTGAGTATTTCAAAAAGGCTTATCTAAGAAAAGTAAATGGATACCTCTCCTCTCTCTGTTTTTTTGTTTTTTGTTTTTAACTCTAAGGAACAGCCAAAGTAGTGCAGTATGGAACCAATTTTCTTTTCAGAGAGCATCTTCTAAGTCTTATTTGACGCACCTGAGAGGGAGCAAAGAGCAGTAAAATAGAGTCCTTGGAGTCCTGTGCAAGTTACTTCACCTGTCAGGGGAGGTCAGGAGAACAGCGAGGGCCTGTCCAGTGATCAGGGCTGTTGTGGGGACCCAGCAAGATAATGTAGGAAACACTCCATGTAACTGACTAGTGACGCATAAACACAAGGCGTTGCTATGCCTGGAGTATATAAAAATATGGAGTAGGTGAGTCACATCTAAAGTCCTTCTGTGACAAATGCCTAACGGCTAGCGCAAGAAAAACCCTCTGAATTACTTCTATTTTAGAGATCGAAACTCTCCTAATAACCAAATAATCCAAAGATTCTGAAGAACTGTCAGATATAAATTCAACTCAGAAACAGTGGAGTTGTGTCATTTTTATGGTAAAAATGTCTTTTCCTAATGTCTGTTTTTTTCCTTCTAACAGACCGTGTATGCTTTACCAACTATTGCGTTTGCATTTGTCTGCCATCCGTCAGTCCTGCCAATCTACAGTGAGCTTAAAGAGTAAGAGATTGGCTTAATTCTTATATATTAATCATCTTATATCCTCTTATTAATAGGCAGGCACTGTATTAAAATAAGCAGCCTGTTTAATGAACCTTCATGTATTCATCATTCAGTTTCAATATCACTAATATTCCACCTTTCTTCAGCAGTTCTGTATTTTAGGAAACAAGAAAGCAAGAAAAATCAGAAACCTGCAGTGTTGTTTTTTTTTTCCATAAGCATAGAAAATAGCCAATCATTAGTTCGTTTCGTTTTTGAAATACTGTGTTACTTAGAATTTAAATATTTGTGTTGTCTTATGTTATTTATGCATATTTTGCAAGTGGATGAAAATCTTCAGATTATGCCATGATGACTGTTTTTAATAATCCAGCTTTTAGTTTGTCATTTTCTCAAGTGCATACGTCTCCGTTTTTCTTGTTTTTCATACTCCTGTGACATCCCAGGCTCCTCGTTATTTCACAACCAAATATTATGACTAGATGTGGTCTGTTATTGAGAGCAAGTCTTACAGATTAAGTATTTGAACAGTTGAAGAAAATTAAATTGCTAACCACATTGTCTCTGATTCACCTGTTGGTTTGGGTGAAAAGGGCTGGCAAATCAAACAATAAGAAATGAATGTTAAGACCACAAACCAGAAAGAAAAATATTGTTTTTCATTTTAAACTATTAACATGATTCTGTGGACTTATTTTTGATTGTTGTTTTTGAGAAGACCAAAGGCCTGCTTATAAACTTCCTCATGTGCCCTTTTTTTAGCCTACTATTATCAAACATACAAAAACAGTTATCATGGCATAATCTGTAGCTGTTTATTTCCTTCTTGAAACAAAGTTGATGTCATTTAGTATTGAATTCACTCATGATCCTTCCTCTTTCATGTGTCATTGATATTTGGTCAAATCTTGAAATATCTACATCTGGTTTCATATACATGACTCCTACTTTATAATTCTCTACTTAGGAAATTTAAATATGACTTTAGTATTTTGTAATAGTCCAGCTTTTTAGTTAATAATTTTCTCAAATGTATACATCTCAGTTTTTCTTGTTTTCCATACTCCCATGACATCTCAGGTTCTTTGTTATTTCACAACCAAATGTTATGACTAGATGTGGTCTGTTATTGAGTACAAGTCTTGCAGATTATCTGGACAGCTGAAGAAAATTAAAGTAGGTTTGACCTAAGAGATACAACCCTTCATCATCGCGTGTGATCTCTTGGGTACTTATTGCTCTGAATACCTGCAGACTTCCAGATGTGTCCCTATGCTGGATAGGAAGCCTAGAACCTAAACAGCAGCTTTAAAGACAGAACACTCGGAGCCAAGTTCCAGCTCTGCCGCTGATCCCTGGGGCTGGGAAAACGGCACTTCAATTTTTCTGCCTGTTTTTAAACCTGTGCCCAGCCACTGTGGAGATAATATCAAACACAAATATTTTAAAAATACTGTCTGCCCTTCAGATGAGAACTCGATATTCTTTTAAAAGAATGGGAAAGAACACTTAAGGGAGTGTAGTTTCATGGATCTCTTCCTCAATACCAATTTAGTATGCAAGTTTTTCTCAACTTGTTTAATTGCCAGGACTAATTTCAACTATCAGAGCTGTTTTAACTTGATAAGAAGGAAAATTGAGTATTCTTTAGTGTTAACACTGGTGCTTAAATTCAGTAATATGATCTTTAATTTTTAAAATTCCTTTACTTTTGTTTTTAGCCGATCACAGAAAAAAATGCAGATGGTTTCAAACATCTCCTTTTTTGCCATGTTTGTTATGTACTTCTTGACTGCCATTTTTGGCTACTTGACATTCTATGGTAAGTCACTTCTGCTAGTACTTAGTATAACTATTTGTAAAGAAATTAGTAAAAATCAGTATTGAAATAACTTTTAACACGGAAGCCAAAGAAAGCGACAAAGCTATCCCTTGGTAGTTAGGGCTTTGGAATTGCTTAAAGCAAATGGTAATGGTTCCTTTACATGTTCATGCAGATTGCAGAATAGAATCATAACTAAAACAATATGCTGTAATTTTTCTCCTATTAGTGTCCTTCAGAGAAATTGCATTTTAGAAGCATGCCACCTTTACTGAGGAGAGTTTAAAACTACATCAGAGAAGGCTTTCCTAATTGACACTGCAAACTGGGTCAGATTCCATTAATAGATTAGAAAGACAGAGACAGATGCTGAAAGTAAGAAAGAGCAGGGTGCTACACTTATAACACTTGGTGTTAATTAAAAATAAAACGCCTAATTGTTCACCAGAAGTTGGAGCCTCGCAAAGATTCGAAGGAGTGACATAGAAAATTAAAAGAAATGAAATCTGAAAAAGGAAACAGGGTTTCATTTGTAACTTTTACTGACCCTATATAAACAGCTTAACTGCTTCTTCATCCTTTCCTATTCAAATTATCCTGAAGCTTTTAACATCTTTAATTTTAGCACCTTTCATTTTCATTATAATCAGTGACCTAATTTAAATACATATATTTAACAGTCTTCTCTATTAAATAATATTTCTTCGGGGCAGTTTTTCATAAATATAATTTTTCCTTAAAATTTAAACATATTTAAAGATTTTTAACTCAGCCTGGAGTGAAAGGCAATTCTGATTATACAGTTGTTATTATCATTTTCACAAGCAATAGAGACTAGCATTGTATAATGAATTCATAAATATCACATATAATTTTTGCATAAAAATAGTGTTTCTAAGATTTATGCAGTGTTGCAGGGCTGAGGGTAGGGAAAGGGAGGGAGAGAAGGAGAGCTTAATGTTAGTTAAACAGTCTCACTGTTGTCTTGTTAGAACTATGATTTTGCTTTGTACATCCTTTTTTTTCCCCACATAGAATACCAAACACTTTTATTACTCTTAGAAAAAGGCTTAGCTGTTTCTCAGTGGTTATGAATTTTGAATCAAGGAAATTAGAACTAGATTTTTATGATAACCTGTGGTCCTTTTTCAGAAACTGAGACCAAGCTCTATGGTACAGATTAGCATTTGAATTCCACACCCAGAGCCTTGAAACCCATGCAGTGAGAAGCCCTCTCAAAAGACAGGAGGGGAAGTGATCTCTTGTCAAAAGAGTGAACGTCTGCATGGTGTCCGTGACTGCCATCCTAGCTTTGGTAGTCTTTGAAATAACACCTTCTGAAGTTCTGAGTGGAGAAAAAGTTCAAAGTAGTACACGGTCTAAAATACTTTTTTTAAAAACAAGAAAAACATACATGGAAAAGAAGAATTATTTCCTCATGGGGATTAAGTTCAGCTAATGCTTCTGCTGCTTGATCACCGGAAGTTGAGTTACAAGAGGGGAATTTGAATGAAGGACAGGCATGGCCTGCAGTCCCCCCAGCAAGACTGAGACTGGCGTGGTTTGAAGAGTAGCACTTGGATGGGGGCGATGTCTAGATTAAAGGGGCTTTTTGGGGGGAAGTCTAGATTAAAGGGACTTTTTCAACTGTATGCTTCATTTTTAAATCCAATATTCTCCTAGCTTTAATTTAATATAAAGTAAGCATTCCTGGCCAGGCATGGTGGTTCATACCTGTGATCCCAGCACTTTGGGAGGTTGAGGCAGGAGGACTGCTTCAAGCTAGGAGATGGAGACCAGCCTGGACAACATAGTGAGACCTCATGTCTACAAAAAAGAAAATGTATTAGCCAGTCGTGGTGCTGCATACCTGTAGTCCCAGCTACTCAGAAGCCTGAGACAGGAAGCTCCTTCAAACCTAGGAGTCTGCGGCTGCAGCAAGCTATGATTATGCCACTACACTCCAACCTGAGCAACAGAACGAGACCCTGACAGAAAAACAATAACAAAAGCATTCCCACTTCATGTGCCTTCTTCTAGTTAATATTTTAAATTCCTTTACTAAGTTATATACGCAGAGTGGGGCATGTCTCACACAGGGATTTTTCTTTTCAACTTCATTTAGACAGTGTAAAACATTGCTTTCCTTGCCCGTTAGTTTACAAATTCTTTGTTGTTCAGAAAAACTGTCATTCAGCGATGTACTTTGTCTCCTTTTAAAACCTTCTCATTTTCCCCCTGTTTCAGAAAACGTGCAGTCAGACCTCCTTCACAAGTACCAGAGTAAAGATGACATTCTCATCCTAACAGTGAGGCTGGCTGTCATTGTCGCTGTCATCCTCACAGTGCCGGTGTTATTTTTCACAGTGAGTAAAGGCCTCTGTGCAATCTGAGAACAGCTGAGGTCTAGCCTTTCCTTCTGTCTTCAGGGGCCGTTCCCGAGAAAGCCCGCCCCAGGTAACCCTCCTGGGGTATTGAAACTGCATCCGGGAAGGATCCCCAGATTCGCTTCAAGCTCTTTGGAAGGCAGACGGCATCAGTGCGTCAGTGTAGCCTCTGATGGAATGAAACTTCATTCTAACTAATCTGTCCTCTTCTTTACGGAGATGTGGAGATAGAATGTTTGAATCTCACTCAGACGTGATGGGAGAATGTAGAAGGACCAGAAGGAAACACTCAAGTCTTAGATAAAACAAAGAGAGAAATTTCCCCTCTCCAAATAAAACGCCTACTATTCATAAATAAAAATACTTTTCATTTTAAGTCAAACCCCCATACTTGCAAAACTGTTGAGCCATTTATAAGTTCACTGGCATTACAAAACATTTCACAAATTCCTATACACCAGTAAATCAGTGACCTGCTGAGAAATGTGAAGGCTGGCATTCTGTAGCCCTTACAGAGTTCTTGTTTTTTTTTTTCCTGCAGGTCCGTTCATCTTTATTTGAACTGGCTAAGAAAACAAAGTTTAATCTATGTCGTCATGTCTTCGTGACCATCATACTCTTGGTTATAATCAATTTGTTGGTGATTTTCATACCCTCCATGAAGGATATTTTTGGAGTCGTAGGTATGGCTTTAAGATTTTGCACGTGTCAATTCTACAACAGCTGTTTAAAGCTAAAATTTCCTAATAACAAACCTAACCTTTGTCTTCTTTTTTAAAATTTTACAGGAGTTACATCTGCTAATATGCTTATTTTCATTCTTCCTTCATCTCTTTACTTAAAAATCACAAACCAAGATGAAGATAAAGGAACTCAAAGAATTTGGGTATGTCTCTGTAACTTTTCTGATTATTAGTTTTCCATTTAAATTTACCGTATAAATAGTCTCTGTCTCTCTCTCTCTCTCTCTCTCTCTCTCTCTCTCTCTCTCTCTCTCTCTCTCTACCATCTAAGTTGCCTTGAAGGAAGGCAGCAGCCCTGTAGCTTTCCCACTAGGGAGTTTTAAAATACCACATCAGAATCTTCTCCATTTTTCTTGTCGGGCATGGTGGCTCATGCCTGTAATCCCAGCATCTTGAGATGCTGTGGCAGGAAGATCACTTGAGGCCAGGAGTTTGAGACCACCATGGACAACAAGGTGAAACCCTATCTCTACAAAAAAATAGAAAATTTAGCAGGGCGTGATGGCATGCACCTGTAGCCCCAGATACTCAGGAGGACTGCTTGAGCCCAGGAATTTGAAGCTGCAAAGCCATGATCATGCCACGGCACTCCAGTCTAAGCAACAGAGTGAAACCCTGTCTCAGAAAAAAAAAAGATTCTTTTCATTTTCTCAAAATCTTTTCTGGCTTTCCTTTTATTATTTCTATATTTTTGTTCTGATTTAGGGCATGGCCAGCCAGGAGAATGAACATTTAGTCTCTATAGGGCACTGCCTTGTCTTCAGCAAGATGTGAAGTGGAAAGGGACTCAAGATTTTATGCAGTCCACTGTTTCTGTACAATTTCTAGTCATGTAACTCCTCCCTACAGTCCAGGGAACATGTGGTGCCTTAATTAAAATGTCTGAGCTAGCTTAAAGAGTCTTTTTATAATTTGACAGAAATGGTTTGGAGCAACAGACCTGGATTCAAAAACTACCTTTCCATATTGGGATTCTTGTTTCCAGGTCTGGTGAAGTTCAAGGGTATCCTGAGGGTGGTGCACTTGGAGACAGTGAGGGAAGCAGGGGTGAAGTGGCTGCTACCCGAGTCCTTTCTGGAGCTCCCTTTTGCTTGGCCTCGGAGAAGGCTTCTCAGCTGCCCTTCCAGCTAGTGTAAGCACTGCAGTCATACCTGTTACCTGAGTCACCAGATCCAAATGAGAGACACAGGCAGGAAGGATCATCCCTGTGCATTTAGGAGAAGCAGCACTGGTTCCCAAACAGCACAGTTCCCAAACAGGATGACCCCCGAAGCCATAAATCCCACATGCTTCTAAGTCTTTCTGTAGGGACTTCATGAAGATAAAGAGGAAGGAGCAGTCACCTGACACAGCAGTACAATATACTCAGATTAAATCTGCAAATGGTGGAGGCCTGTTGTCCATGAATTCTCTGGGCCTCTCCAAACCTGGTTCCATAATAAAACTGATCGTAGGGTCTGTTGAATGGCATTAGACTAGGGCTCTGTCCATGTAGGGACCACCAAAAGTTAGACTGAACCTATGATGGTCTGCCATGTGCAGCCATCTCACCCCCTCATTTGCTCCTCTCCCTTCTTGAGCTCTTTCTTCCTTTCCAGTTTCCAGTCCAGCTCCTTCGGCCCCTACAATGCTTCATTCTCCTCCCTGCAAAGCTCTCAATGGACATTCTCAAGGCCAAGCAATTGATACTCTCATGTTTTCCAGATTCTGTATGTAGTAATCTGTCCACTTGGAACCTTCAACAACTCAAGTAACTTCGTTTTTGACATCTGTTTCCTGTTTCACTTGATCAGATCTACTTCACTTTGTGTCTTTTTCCCTCTTTTTCAAACAGAAATGTTTGCCTGCCAGCAATGAACCAGGTTGTTAGGTAATGAATAACAAGATGACCTGGATATTTTCCAAGTGTGATCTTAGATTGAGGGAAGCTATAAGAATACGCAATCATTTGTAGAATGGATACACTTGAGGAGACCATGAAGTCAAAGAACAGAAAACTTTGCTGAACTTGCTTTTCTTATTTTCCCATTCTTGCAGAATCAGAATCAGATAATTTTAGAAAGATTCTCACAGTTCATCAATGGTTGTGACATACTCCAAATACAAGGGGTCACAAAGGGAGAGGGAAGACATTTCTGGTTTTTTTTCCAGGTGTATGTGGAAAATGTTTGCTGAGTTAAAAATAACTCATGGCTTTCTGTTGTTCCAGGCTGCCCTTTTCTTGGGTCTGGGGGTGTTGTTCTCCCTGGTCAGCATTCCTTTGGTCATCTATGACTGGGCCTGCTCATCGAGTAGTGACGAAGGCCACTGAGACCAGCCAAGAAAAGGAAACATTCCTGTCGTCTGCTCAGTCAAGTTCCCCACACATCAGCAACCTCTCATCACTTCTTTTGCAAGTTTACAGAAGCAAACAGAAATGTACAGGATACTTAAAATGGAATCACACTTTGGTTACAAAACAGAGACCTGTTTCTATAATGGTTCATGTCCCTCCAAGATTTTGGATCAATTTAGGGATTGTGGAATTTTTTTTCAAATTCATGCAATCATATTTCCCAGTACTTTTCACAATCAATTATTTTTCACCCTCCTAACTCTCTATGTTTTGTGGCTTCACGGTCTCTTAGAACTTTGAAAACATGATCATCAATCGTGTTTATTTATTATACATCCAGATTCTGAAATAATTTTCCTACTGATGTTCAGTTCACACTATCTGTACCTTTTTAGAAGAGAAAAGAATTCTTGAATTGTATATATTTATTTTGCTTTACAGAAAAAAAATGGTTTCGTAAATAATTTGCCTATTTTGGTTAACATAGCACACAGGGATAATCATCTGAGAGTCATAGGGCACGTGCCATTGCTGGATTGGAGCATGCTCAATATTTGAGGCGGCTCCAATCGCCTGGCAGCCGAGCGTGGGCAGTTCAGTGGCCTATCTGGGATTCCATTCCACTCCCATACAGAAGCATTCTATGGCAAGTGTTCTCAGCTGGGAAGGAGGTGGGAATGATTCTTACCTTGATAATTAAATGGAGCTACACATTTGGGTGTTCTAGCAATTGAAATTTGTTTCCCTCTTGGCAACAAGTGTCAAAGTTACTCTAGTCTGAGTCAGTTTTCACTGAGAGAGATCAATGGCACCTGCTGTAAAAAGATTGTCCAAAATGCCTAGGAAAATACTCTTCTGATGCAAATAGCCTTCAGCCTGACACCTGTAGCATTGATGAGAGAAAAATGTTTTAGCAAATTATGAGACCAGCAACTTTTACTCATGTCCACCAGCTGATTGCACAGAGAATATAACATGTACCTAACTAAGGATGACGTAGCATAAGTCATTTCTGTTTTATATTGGGTACTTTAGGGAAGTCTTCAAAAGACTTGTTTTATATCTATAAATCTAGGTTATTACAAATACAAGATTTTTGTACCTTAAATAAGCCTCATTTCTATTTCTTCTCCATTAATTCTCCATCCAGAGTCTTAGGAAAAAACCCTCAAAGATAGTCTTAGTGAAGAGCCTCTGACAAAAGCACTGTTACCTTCCTTCCCTCGGATGGAGAGGGCGAGAGGGCCTCAGTGTCTGAGCTCACTCGTCTTCTCCTCCCCAGCCGAGGGGTTGCGCATTACTGCCCAACCCAATTAACCCACGCAGGAGGACAGAGTTGCCTTGTATTCTTACCCCAGTCCCTATCCTAAAGGGAGCACAAGGAAACTATAAAGAGACTAAAAGTGAAGAGAGTTTGGGACAAGATAGCTGGGAAAGGAATGGGGGACAGCAAGGAAACCCAAAACCACATTCCCCTAAGTTGGACCATCACCTGTGATTGGTTTGTCCATAGCATGCATATGTAAAAAACATGCATGTTCTGTGAGCTGGTCTGTTGAAACAGGACTTGTGTTTTATCTATACTCTGGTTGAATTTTCCAAACACATAGGTTCACCGAGCACAGATTTCTTATCCGGAGATAAGTAAAATCTAACCGCAGACTATTGGCAGAGTTTCCAGGCACTCAGCTCTGTTCCTTCTCTACTCAAATCCCCAAAGGCCTTCACTCTTATTGAGAATAACAGAGATCTGTCCCTCCCTTTACAGGTGAATGTCCCATAGATAAGGCAGGCATTGAAGCACCTGTCGTGATTCTCTCGGGGGAGAACAAAAAGTTATTTCCTGCATTGCATCATCATAGCTTTTAATCTAATGCTATAGAATTAAATCCACATTAGGCCAGGTATTTAGATATGAATACATAACCTAGTAAAATCCACAAGCCATCTTCGTCCTTTTCAGAAATGGTTTCTATATTATACAAGCAATGATAAAAATGGAGCAAAACAAGATTCAGCTTGGGAGCTTGTCTAGAGCACCAAGTCATGAAGTAGCCAGGTAGTGGGATGACCGTTAAAAATACAGCAAGACCTCATCTCTACGATATCAAAAAATCAGCCGGGCGTGGTAGCGCATGCCTGTAATTCCGGCTACTTGGAAGGCTGAGGCAGAAGGATCGCCGGAGCCCAGCAGGTCGGGGCTGCGGTGGCCGGAGCGGCCACTGCACTGCAGTCTGGGTGACAGAGTGAGACTCCAACTCAAAAAAAAAAAAAAAAAAATGCATCATGTAATGTGCAAGTTATGTTATGCTACTTTCTATTTTCCTCATTACTTTGTAACAATTCGTTTTACACTCACAAAGTCAATTTTAAAAATGATCATTAGCTCTGGAATGTGTAGTGACATTTTTGAGTCTCTGAGTTTTACATGTCAATACAAGGAATTAGTTATTTAAAGTTATTACTTAAAATATATTTATTTGGGAGGAGGTACATTGTTGATGTCTGTGATACTGCATATTTTTAAAACCTTCTTTGCCTATCTAAGTTTCTTGTTGGCTGAATATAATAGACCCTACTGTAATTTATCAAATATCACTGATTAATTACAGCATTTGTATGGGGTTAGCTGTACAGTGTACTGCTCTTACTCTTGTTCAGAATAGTGAACTGGTAGCCAAAAATACATATATCACAGGTGTTAGGTAGAATTAAAGCAGCACGGTCAAGTGCTATAGGAGTTTTTCTACTAAATTAGTAAAGAACACTATGGCTTAGCCATGTGACACAGCACGTTTTCCTTGAGTAGATAGGATCTCTATACTAGTGAACAGCCAGCTTCATACTTTGAATTTAGAACTGTTCTCTAGTTTTATTGTAACACCAAATACTGTGGATCCCTAATTTACTTAATGTTACTTATTGGGAGTGGGGTGATGAAGCATGCACAGGAAGGAAATCTCTTTTTAGGCACAAGCAGTCCCCAAGGTACAAGGAGATCATATTCCAAAACACTGTAAGTTGGTTGTTTACAAACTGGAATGTACTTTCCTTTGGAGACCAGGTTATCTGTGGTGGTTAGGTCGCCCTGCTTCACCCTCCGGACCAACTGGAAAAGGTGGTCAAGCTCATAGCTTAGCTGAAATGAAAAAACAAGCTTGTTAAAGAACCTAATCATCAAATGTAATATTGTTTCTGGGAGGGTATTCATTCAGAGTTGTCGACCAACATTGCCTAATAGCAAAATCTGAACTGTCCGTCCCAGCCACATACCACCTGCTGGACAGTGGGGGTAGACCAGATTACAGGTGACCAGAGTGGACTGAAATAGGATTTCAGCAAAGAAGGGGAGGAATAAATCCAAGGCTGTCAGAGAGCCTGGTGGGAAGAGGAGGATGGGGTGCCTTTTGTGGGTTGTAATCTTCCAGGGGCGTTCCTGGTACTTTGTCTTTGCTCTGGAGGTCTCAGGCTCATCCTGCCTGCTTCTTTTTGTGTGACCCTTTGTTCCTATAGTTCTCCTTCAGAAAGTGATGTCGCTACATAGCTTCTCCTATATGCCAATCTTTGAGGCCAGCGCACAGCACTTTTAATGGTTTTAGTGCTCACAGTCATGGTTTAACTGCCCAGGAATCAAAAGGTGGGTTAAACATCTCTTTATACCCACGTTCCTTTTTTACATTTACAGACTCTGTGGAGAAAAAGAAAGGAACAGATGGGTGATGGTAGGGGAGGCCTGGGATGGGCTCAGACCTGTGGTAAGATTCCTCAATGTTTCAGAGGTAGCCTCAGACTGGTACCCCAGAACTGACTTCTTTCTAGAGCTGGATGCAAGCCTCTATGCCAGTGGTTCTCCAAGTGTGGTCCCCAGACCCACAGCATCATCACCGTGTTAGAAGGCAAATTCTCAGACCCCACCCCAGACATGATGAAATCAGACAATCTCAGGCTGGGGGCCCAGTCGCCTGTGTTTGAGCAAACCATCAGGTGATCCAGATGCACATTAAGTTTGAGAACCACTCTAAGCCAATTCAACTCTCCTTTTTTCTCCCCACTAGCCCAGCCTTAGAAGATGCTTCCTCGGACTCCTGATGGTCTATTAAATTCAGAAATGGCAATAAAGGCTTAGAGAGGGAAGGAAAGGGTCTCAGCAGCAGGTGTCTCTGCAGTGGTAAGAAAGCGAGGGAGTCGGTGCTGCCCTGGAAACCCCAGTGCAGGTGCACATTGGTAGACAAAGGCTGTCTATATTTGGGTGTCACTTTGGGCTGGGGCACCATGTTATATTTTTAAAGCTATGAAGAAATGAAAGTGAGGCTTTTTTGGGTGAGAGAAATTTTTTAAAATACTTTTTGTAAATGCAGTCTTAGAGAGCATACTAAAGTCATGGCAGGAATAAGTTCTCCAGAGTGTTTGTGTTCATCATGTAGTGATAATCCTGTCCTTTTACATGAATTCTCTACTGAAAGGCCTGCACTACTTAATGAGCTACTAACTGCTTTGAAAAGAACAAAGAGCTCAGTTCCATCTCAGTGGGGCATAATGTTGGACAGCATGCGAAGCTTGAGTGAGGAGGAGGTTGAGAGTATGATAGATACCAGATTTTATGCCTGAGAGTAAAACCTATTCGTCTCCTTCAGTTTATCAATTTAAATGATTTGAGGCTTAGAAAGAGCATAATAAGCCTTAAAAATATAATTCCCCCACTCAAGTTCACAGCAAATGTCTAGCCACTTTCAAAACAATCAAAAATGATTTCCTTAGCCATGGCAGATCCCTTAACTACAGAACATACTTCCTCTAAATACAGCGAATTATTTATCACAGTGTAAGGCTTTCAGGTACAAACCGGGAGTGGGGTGGATAACAATTGAGAAATATCGCTAAATTTAAAAGGGAAAGTTCTTGAAAAACATGTAAAATTCACAGGGTACAGGTATTCTCCTTCAGGGTTTTCTCCAAGGAAGGCCATGAAACTGGGTCCAGATGTATACAGGCTCAAATTCATGTTTTTAAAGGAAGAATCTATGCAGCAGAGGCTTATTGTAGGAAATACTTCATTTGTATGTAAATATATTGTAAATAAATAGGAGGCTGTATATTTTTGCAGTTGTTGATCCCCACTGAAATAGAAGTGTGTCGGATCTGCGTATAAAGAATAAATGTCTCATAGTTATTAGTGGTTTTGTTTGGGAATTAGACAGATTTGCATTCTCTTCCAGGTAACATAGTTCTCTCAATGTAAACTTGGAACCTAAAACCTTACTTAATTGTTTAGAAAAAGAAATGTTTGAGAAATAGTTGCATTGATTTCTTATGCTGGTATTAAGATCAATTATTTAAAAGATAGTCCTCTGAGCTATAAATAAGAAATATTTAGACCCAAATCATTGCCATATAGAAACAGATATACCCCAAATGACAAGTTGTCTCTTCATACTGCTCTTTTACTGTTAACGTGGATACTACTGCAGGGTATTTATGAAAATAGAAGTTGGGAAGAGGAATGTTTTGGTTTTTTTTTTTCAAACTCGAGTTGCTGCATTTCTCAAACTTTGGGATATTTAAGGGAGGGGGAACCTGAATATGAATTAAGAGCACAAATTTGAAGAAAAGAAAACAAAGAACTGTTATCAAGCTTTCAAAGTCTTGCATGTTTGCCTTTTATTTTAGTGTTGACGCCAACATAGACTGTCGTAAGTAAATTCTTCCCCAAACACTTGAATCTGATTGTTGGTATGTAATCCACTCTCTAGAGTCCAGTGTACTTTAGACTTCATCTGAGTCCAGTACATGTAGCACACCACTGTTTTATTAATGTAAAAACCTTGTAAATGAATTTCAGATGGTTGATTTAAATGAGTCACAAAACTTTGCTATTCATAGTTAATCACATAGAATTGGGATTTTTTTCAGGGTGTGGTGTAAATAAAGAAATGTAATAAGTTCTGTTCTATAACTGCTCTGTTAACATAGTTTTTAAACATTAAAAAATGTGAATTAAAAGTAGTACAAATTTTGTGTTCATTCTTTTGGAATTCAGTGCTAAAATAGGAAGCAGTCAAGGACTGTATACACTCTGCAGGATTGCTGGAGAAAGGCTTATACATATTT